AAAAGACACAAAAACAAACATTCAACTCCTTTTTGTCCTCTTGGACCTTTAATCATTAGAACCCATTTTCGTAATGAGAGTTTCGTTAACTCTCGGTTCTCCCGCAAACGGTAACGCCTAAGTCTCCAATGGTCGAGCTGCATACACCAAACTGCGAGAACCGTTTGTTAACCCTACTCGGGTTAAAAACAACTTGAACCAAACCTGTGGTCTAGTTAGCTCGAACTACGTTTGCTCTGATCTTTCATACCAGATGAAAGTACGTAGGCACGAGATGCGAGATCTCGGCGAGCAACCTTCCCCCCTTTACCCGTAGTTAGGCGAACTACGTTGACTCTGATTTCTCGTTCCAGACGGGAATACGTAGGCATAAAGTGCGATACTTTGCCGAGTCACTTTTCTTTTCTTTTGTCCTTAAGCCTTTAGCTAAATAGTATTCATCAACCCTTCAAGATAAACAATTAAGCATGGATCCCGTCGAGTACGACGGACGTGAGGGGTGCTAATACCTTCCCCTTGCGTAACCGACTCCCGAATCCAGGACTTGGTTGCGATGACCATTCCTTTTCCCTCTTTCGTTAGATTTTCTCTGAGCGTTTCCTTTCCCTCCTTTGGGATAAATAACGCACGGTGGCGACTCTTCTGTTTTGCCGGCGCCGATTTTCGCAGTAGCGACAATAGGCTATTGTGATGCTGACTATGCTAGAGACAAAATAGAAAGGAAAAGTACTTCTGGGAGTTGTCAATTTCAAGGATACAATCTAATCCCGTGGTCTACTAAAAGGAAGTCAACAATTGCACTCTCAACAACTGAAGGTAAATATATTGCAGCTTCTGGATATAACACTCAGATACTCTAGATGAAGAGTCAGCTGGAAGATTATTAAATTTTTGAGAGTAATATTTCTATCTTCTATGATAATACTTCTGCTATTAGTTTATCAAAGAACCCTATCTTGCATTCTAGAGCTAAACATTAAAATTAAACATCACTTTTTGCGTCACTATGTTCAGAAGGGTATTTTACATTTAAAATTTGTTGATACAGATCACCAGTGGACTGATATCTTCACTAAACTACTTGCTAAAGATAGATCGTTTTCATTATGAAAAATCTATTTATCAAACCTTGTCCAGAATGAAATGATGTTTTTTAAAATGTTCAGCTTATCAGAATTCTTGATTAAGGTTATGAGGTTATGTTGTAATTTGTTTGTTTGTTTTTGAAACATGAACTTTATGAAATGAGGAAGTTTCATAAATTAGAAAGGTTCTAATCAAAAGGAAATCCTATCGATTTGTCTTTTAAATTATGAACAATTACAATATTAATGATTGTCTTTTCGTTTGATAACGTGTGGTCTTAAGTGGTGACAAATGTCCCATTTTTTGAACATGCGTATTGATGACGTGACTTATTGAGTTTTGTATTTTTTTTGAAAATAGGTTAAAATATTTACGCCTTCCTGCTATTACTGCGCGTGTACTATTTATAATCATGTTTAATTATTGTTTTTATTTCTTTAAAGTGTTTATAAACTCACATTCCACACTACGCTCACATTAATCTCACTCTCTGCAGCTGTTCATCTTCAACGCTCAACTGCTAACTCTCAATCGATGTAAATATCAATATAAATTTTTTAAAAATTAATAACTAAAATAAATTCCGACGTTAGAAGATAAAAAAAAATATTAAACCTAAAATTTACAAGTTAAATATCAAACATGTTAACCATGTTAAAAAAAAATATTAATATATATATTTTTTGGTCAAACTGGAGTTTTAAGACTCGTAAAAAAAATATTATAATATGATGCTAATTTGATATAAAATAAAACTTATACTTTTTATAATAAAATTCAATTTAATCATAATAAATCTCAATTTATTTTTTAAAGTATCAATGTATCTGGCAAATTGTAATTCAGTGTATATTAAAAAATATTATAATTTTTTACCTGAATTATATATTTTCAATGCATGTAGACTAAATAAATTTTCATATATTGACCAAATCTCATTTTAAAATATTTATATAAAAACAATTATTTTCACAAAAGGTAAAAAGAACTAAAAATCTATAAACGTTGAACTGTATATAGGATACCGGGACAAAAAGGTTGAATTTGGACACCTCTTGTCTACCCATTTGTTATTTCCATTCTCTTATATATAATTTCAATCTGAGTTTTTCTACCAACATTTTCGTTGTTTTTTTTTCTTTCACTTTTTGAAAACTCAAATTAAAAAACAATCTCCAAGCCTTTCTTCTCACATTTAGCTTTTGAAGATGAGCAAGGTACATAAGAAAAAACTCTAATACAAAGCCAATTATTTTATTTTAATAATTTATGTTCTTTATTTTCATCAGTTTCTTTTGGGATTAAACCATATTAATACCTACATGTCTCTCTAAATTTTGATGTCTTTCTTTCAAATTAATCACTAATTTAATTTACAGTAAAGTAATGTAATTTATCACCTTAAATTCTTCTTTTTTATATTCATGATTTTTAGTTCCTTCAATTTCATATAGCACATAGTGATATTTTTGAGTTGTATTGATTTCTTAATGGTAGTTTTAAGAGGGATTGAGATGTCTTTGGGTCTTCAGGTTAATTTCTTCAAGATCATTTTTGTTATGATTAATTTAGACCCTGTCTTTTTGGCCTTAGATTCTTCTTTTTTATATTCATGATTTTTAGTTCCTTCAATTTCATATAGCACATAGTGATATTTTTGAGTTGTGTTGATTTCTTAATGGTAGTTTTAAGAGGGATTGAGATGTCTTTGGGTCTTCAAGTTAATTTCTTCAAGATTATTTTTGTTATGATTAATTTAGACCCTGTCTTTTTGGCCTTTGCGGATGAGTTCCTCTACTATAGGATTGAGCCCCTCCCATTTAAGTACCTAGGTCTTCTAGTAGGACTAAATCTAGGCGGAGACTACCTGAGACCTTTTAATTAATTTTTTGACCAAGAGTCTCCATTCCTCAAAACACGGATATGTCAATTTGAGGGTTGAATGATCCTTCTTGATTTAATGTTTAATGTAATTCATATCCTTTTTTTCTTTCTTTTATGAATACACATGTGAAGGTTTGGAAGAAGTTAGTTACGATTTAAAGAAGATTCATTTGAGAGGCATGAAGGGCTATTCTAAAATCATTTGGGTCAAGTGGAAAAATGTATACAAATCTAATATAAAATGGGCTAGAAGTTAATGACCTCTAGCTGGTAAATCTAGCCCTTTTAGCTAAATAGAGATAGAAGTAGGATACAGACGCTTGAGGTCATTGGAGCGAGATTCTTGTAGTTGGATATGGTACATTTATTGTTTTCTCTCTACGGGGAGGAAAAACAACGAATTTTCGATCTGCTTCTTCTTAATGGAAAAGTATGTCTCTTCTTGGGTCCAAGGACGATGGTTCATGTGATTGGTTTGGTGATGGTATTATTAGGCTCACGGGTTAAGGCTTCCAAAATTATATTTGGGAGGATCCTTGGGTATGACCTTTCTCCCTTAAGAAAAAGTTCCTTTATTTTTTATTCAATCTCTTCTCTACAAGATGGTTTGGTGGATGAGGTTAGCAAGATGGAGAGTGAGAATCTTGTTAGGAATCTTAGGAGGAGGAAAATCTTTTTTCTCTATGAGTTACATGTGGTTGATGACCTTGTATTTATGCTTCATTGTTCTACTCTCTCTTAGGATGAAGGTAAATGAAAGTGGGATCATTTAGGAAATGGTATTTTCTTTGTTGTTTTTTGTTATCATATTCTGTTGGGACTCCTTATTCCTTCTTTGTCATCAGTGGTAATTGAAAATCCAACCCTCTCCTAGTATAAGTCAATTGATCTTCTTCTAGGATGATGGTCTTTTATTGACTTTTTTTACAATATAGGTTTCCTTCTAGGAAAACCTATTCAAAAAGGGGGTGATTGTTAATTCTAATGGGATTATATGTCCCTTGTGTGAAGAAATGGTTGAGTCGATTTTCTATTTCTTTGTCACTTATGAGTTAGTGTTGTAAGTATGATATATGACTTTTCATTGGTTAGGTTGGCAGATGGTTATTCATAGTGACCATAAACTTTTGTTTGGGTATTTCCTAACTCTAGGTGGCAAGGTTAAGTCTAGGGGTGGTTTTGGAATGATTTGACATGCTGCTTTCTGGTCTATTTAGAGGGTTTGTAATAATGATATATTTAATTGTGTTTTTACAACTCTGAAAGAAGTGGAGGAAAACAATTTTGGTCTATAAATGGTTTCTAGGTTGAACAGAGATGGGCTTATGCACTTTCTCTGATTGACTTTAGAACTCTATCATCTACCTAAATCAATAGTTGATCGAGAGTTTGTATTGATTCCAAGGTTGGTGGTGGTTTTTGGTTTTTGGTTCTCGTTTGTTACCATCTAATTTATTGATGATTGTCGTGGTAATATAAGATCTGAATCTTCATGGTGACGTTTCTAGATGCTCGAATGTATTCTTCTAAGTTTTTAGTTGTTCTATTGTTTTTCTGATTTTTACTTTTGGCTTGTGTACTTACTTTATCTTTGGTTGAGGTGGTCTATTTATTTTTCCTTACGCTATCAATTTTTAATCTTTTTATATTTCAGTGAAATTCACCTTTTTATAAATATACTATTTTTCCATTAAAAATACTAGATCTAAAGTCTTTTCAGTGTTCATGATCAAATAAGTTGTTTTTTATTATATTTATTAGATTGTTCTATTTTTTTAAACATTTAAATGTATAGTTAACTTTTTTCCCCTAAAGTTTTGGATTTTTTAATCATTAGTAAAAAAAAATGTATTTGTAAATAAGTGGAAGATATGAACAGATGTTTTATATTCAAAATGTCAAAATTGTTCTTCTCATGAGTTGAATATACATTTTTATGACTTTATGAATAAAGATTTTATTGAATTTTAGCTTTTTCTAATTGTGTGTTAGTAAATAATGTAATAAAACATTTTCCTGCATTTGCGAAAATGAAGGGATCAAGTTCAAAAAAAGTAGAAGTAACAAGTGATGATGCCAAAATTTATATCAAAGAAATAAAGGATGCATTTCAAGATGAGAAGCATAAGTTCAACGAGTTTGTAATGACTATGAAAGATATCAAGAAAAAAAGGTATGATTTTTATATATTAGCATTTTTTTAATTTTTGTTTATTATAATTGATTTGTTTTTCTTGCTTGTAGAGCTGAAATAGCGTGTATGTTGGCAAGAGTGAATGAATTGTTTGAAGGGCATGATGAATTGTTATTGAAATTTAATACCTATTTGGCAGACGAATTTGAGTCTATGCCCCCACCAAAGAAACCAGAAGTGAATATAGAATATGCTAGGAAATATTTGGATAAGGTCAAGGTATGAGTATTCTCAAGTTCTATATATTTTATACAAAATTTTGTTTTCATAGTTGAATGAATCAATGAATAATTTCCAATGCAATTTCTTTTTTAAAATAGTGAATTTTTGTTTCAAATGGCAAAACTATATAGATTTACTCCTAGAATTAACATATTTTAACTTCCAGAATCAACATTCTCTCTCTCTCTCTCTCTCTCTCTCTCTCTCTCTCTCTCTCTCTCTCCCCTCTCTTTCTCTCTCTGCAACTGTTCATCATCTTCTTCCTTTTGTGCATTATTGATGGAGTTTCATTATTGAACTCCAACAATTGGTATCCAAAGCAGAGCTCCAGTTTGATTCAAAAGGAAACATAAGTGCAGTGAGGTATGTGATTGATTTTGTTTTTGAAATTCGTGTTTAATTGAAGTTCAAAATTGAAGAGGATCAGATATATTGATTCTTAGTATTTGGGAAACACGAGTGTTGGTGAGAACTAAGTGATTTGCACAAGAACAAAGATGAACGAAGAAAATGGTAGCTTGAAAACAAAGCATCCAGTATTCGACGGAAAGAAATGGAATCAGTGGTCGATTCATATGTATATGTTGTTTGGAGCTTATGATGTTCTTGATCTCGTCAATGTTGGTTACACGCCAATTGTAGAAAATGCAACATAAGCACAAAGAAATATGCAACTTGAAACAAGGAAGAAGGACCTGAAGGTGTTGTTCTATATCCATCAGTGTGTGGTTACAAAGGTGTTTGAGAAAATTGTTAATTCGACGACGACGAAGGTGGTACATGATACACTAATATGGTGCTATGGTGGTGACACATCATTGAAGAAGGTCAAGGTGCATTCCCCACACAAGTAATATGAAAATATCAGCATGAAGAACAATGAAAAGGTGTTTGATTACATCTCGATAGTGATGGTTATCACGAGTGAGATGAAGTCTTGTGGAGAAGCGCTTTATTAATAAGTAATCATTGAAAAGGTACTGAGATCAGTAACTCCTTAGTTTGATTACATAGTTATAGCCATATAATTATAAATATATCGGAACCATGAGAATTGAAGAGCTTCAGAGTAGTTTAGACGCACAAGAGTTGTGTCTGACTGGAAAAAAAACTTTAAAATGGAGATAGAACAGGCTCTGAAAGCTTAAACTCTAAAAGCTTCTTGTTGAAAGAAGAACAAGAAGCAAACATGGCTAGAGAACAAGAAAAAGCATGGAAGTGGTGTTCAGAAGTCAGAACTCTCTAATTCAGATAAGAAATATCATAATGTTCAGAAGGGAAAAGAGAAGTTTGATAAGAGAAAGGTTTAGTGCTACAGTTGCAACAAGTTTGGTCATTTTGCTGCTAATTGCTGGTCAAACAAGGTTAGCAAGGGTGAAGAATCCAACATAGCAAGAGGAGATTCTGATGATGAACCTATTCTATTGATGTCATCTAAGAATGTAGCCCGATCAATGGTAGACTGGTGGTAAAAGAACCAAGATTAGATGCAATGATGATGAGTATCTGAATGCTAAAGGAATGGTATGTGTCAGACTTAAGTTGAACAATGACAAAACTGTACTGATAAAGGATGTATGGTATGTTCCTGACATGAATAGTAATTTGATGAGTGTAAGTCAGCTGATTAAAAAGGATTTTTCAATAACCATGAAGGACAGTCTCTTGAAGTTGAATGACTGTAATCAGAAGCCGATTATGCAGTCTGAACTGGGAAGAAATAGAACATTCAAGTTGAATATTGCAACATTATACACTCAATGCTTTAATACAAGAAGTAATGAAGAGGAAAGTGAGTTGTGGCACAAGTGATTGGGGCATTTGAACTACAGAAGCTTGGGGTATATGAGTTTAGAGAATCTGGTACATGGAATTCCTAAGATTGTGGAAACAGAGAAATCATGTGATATATGCATGAGAGGCAAGCAACCAAGATTGTCGTTCTCGTCATAAATTCCTCAAAGAGCAAGTCATGCTTTGGGTGTGATGCATTATGATGTATGTGGTCCATTTAAGGTACCTTCACTTGGAGGGAACACGTATTTTGTGTCATTTGAGGATGAGTTCACAAGAATGATATGGGTAGCACTCATTAAGTTCAAACATGAGGGGTTTTCTCAGTTCCAAGAGTTAAAAGTGAAGGCTGAAAATTAAAGTGGACAAAGGTTGAAGATCCTCATAACTGATGGTGAAGGTGAGTTCAACTCAACAAAGTTCAAGAAGTTCTGTGAAGAACATGGTATTGAGCATGATGTGATTTCTCCATACACTCCAAAACATAATGGTATTACTTAAAGGAGAAATAGAACTCTACTTGACATGACAAGGAACATGTTGAAGCAAAAGAATATGCCTAAGCAATTTTTGGGTGGAGCAATTGTCACATCAGCATATGTGCTCAACAGATGTCCAACAAAAAAGTAAAAGGAAGTGGTTCCTATTGAGAAGTGGACTGGAAGAAAGAAAAATGTCTCCATTTCAAGGTGTTTGGTTATGTATGTTATAAACTTATACCAAATGCTACTAGAAGGAAATTGGATGATAGAATAAAATTCATGTTGCTTATAGGTTACCACAATACAGGTGCTTATAAGCTCTATTAACCAGTCACCAACAAATTTAAATTCAGCATAGATATCATAGTGAAAGAATCAGAAGCATGGGATTGGAGAAACTCTCAATCCAACTCTAGTGCAGTGTCAACACTACAGTCTAATCTTGACTCTGAGGGAGATTATGCCTTTGAAGATGATTTTGACTCTAAAGGAGAGTCTGGATCTCAAGATGACTCTGACTCTGAAAGTGAGTCTGACTCTGAAGGCGACTCTGACTCTGAAAGTGGATATGAATCTGAATGTGGTCCATCTTATGAAGGTGAAACATCTGAAGGTGGATCTTCTGAAGGTGTTAGTACTTCTGAAGGTTTTCAGAGGCTATAGAGAGTTAGACAGATACCAAAGAGACTTGCAGACTTTGAGTTACTGCAAGATACTGAGATTGACTCTGAAGGGGAAGTCACATACATTGTCATGATGGTGGACTCTGAGCCTTTCAGCATCAATGAGGCTCTCAAAAAGAAGGTGTGAGAGAAAGCCGTGGATGAAGAGCTTGAGGCCATTAAAAGAACCAAGACATGGGAATTGCTTGTTCTACTTTAGAACAAGAAATCCATAAGTGAGAGATGAGTTTTCAAGATAAAGCTAAAACCAGATGGTTCAGTTGCTAAGCATAAAGAAAGGTTCGTAGCTAATGATTCCTACAAAATTCTGGTTTACACTACTTTGAAGTCTTTGCACTTGTGGCTAGACATGAAACTATAAGGTTGGTTATTGCTATAGTTGTAAATAGGAATTGGCCTATAATATTCTGAATGGTCCATTGTAAGAAGAAGTTTATGTGTTACAACTTCATGGATTTGTGAAAGAGAACAAAGAAGGGATGATATACAAGCTGCACAAATCCTTGTATAAGATAAAACAAACTCCAAAGGCTTGGAATCTTAAAATTGATTCAATTTTCAAGCATATGGGGTTTAAGAAATGTGAAATGGAATATGGTGTGTATATGCAGCATACTTCTGAAGGTAATGTGATTCTAGTGTGTCTTTATGTAGATGACATACTTCTACCAGGAAGTTGTACTTTTGAGATAAAAACGTTTAAGAAGGTGCTGATGAATGCATTGGATATGACCGACCTTGGAAATATGGTATATTTTTAGGGATGGAGATTTTGCATTCTGTTAAGGGAATTATTGTGCACCAACTAAAGTATAAACTTGAGCTGCTGAAGAGATTTGAGTTGATGAATTGTAAGTCAACAACCACACCTGCTAAGAAAATCATAATCTAGACTCTGATGATGATGATTAGGATGTAGATGCTACAACCTTCAAATAATTGGTTGGTTGTCTGAGATATATGTGTAAATAACATGCCTGCCATATGTTATGCAGTTGGAATGATGAGTAGATTTATGAGTAAACCAAAGTGGTCACATTACCAAGTTGCAATAAGGATTCTGAGATATGTAAAAAGGACTTTGAGGCATGGAATTTTGTTTCCATATGGAGTTTTAAATAATGCTGAGCATATATGCTACTCAGACTCTGATTAGTATGGTGACATAGTGGACAAAAGAAGCACTACATAATACACGTTCATATATCTGAGAGCTCTTATTTCTTGGTGTTCCAATAAGAAACTGGCGATTTCCTTGTCAACATGTGAGCCTGAATATATAGCTGAAGATTTGTTAGCTTGTCAGGTTGTTTGGCTAATGAATTTGTTGTAGGAACGAAACTCCAAAGTGAGCAAACCAGTCAAGTTGACGATTGACAACAAATCTGCCACAAGTCTTACAAAGAATCAAGTATTGCATGAAAGAATCAAGGACATTGATATTAAAGACCATTTTATACACAATCAAGTTCATAATGGAGAACTTGAGGTTGTTTATGTCAGCACACAGAAGCAACCTACAGATGTGCTGAAAAAGACAATTAAAGTTGAACACTTCATCAATTTGAGGAATGAAATTATTGTTGTGGATTTTAATTTAGATTTACATTAGCATTTTAATTTGAATTTGATTTTCATTTGAGTCTTTGTATAAAACCTCAAATGAAGTTGCATTTGTAACCAATTGTAACAGATTTTCTAAATTGAGAAAATTAGTTACAAATTCCTCTAAATTTTATCTCTCTCTCTCTCTACACAACTGCTCATCATCATCTTCCTCTTGTACATTGTTAATGGATATTTCTAAATTGAGAAAGTTAGTTACAAAATTCCTTTTCACTCTCTCTCTCTCTCTCTGCAATTGTTCATCATCTTCTTCCTCTTGTACATTGTTAATGGAGATTTATTGTTGAACTCCAACATACCCAAATTCAATGGATTCGTAACCCTAAATGAACACGAGTATTAACAAAACTCTAAGAAGCCATCAACAATTTTGTTTCACTATTCATTCATTTTTTTTATTTCTTTATCAAATATCTTTTAATTTTCACATTTTTCGCTTTCTTCAAGTTATAATATAACATGAATATTTCTTTCAAAATAAAATATAACATTGTTATTTTATATTTTTTTCCTTTTTATTTCTCTTTAAACTTGTCTTTTTCTTTTTAAATCTCATGGGTTTGACTTTTTCTCATGTGTAATCCTTCTTCTAGTAGTTGGCTTGTGAATGAATGATTCATGCTTGTGTTCACACTCTTTGTCTTTGTAAAAAAGACAAATCTGCATTGTTTTGTTTTTCATTTTAAGGGTTTCTTTGCATGCAGACTCGATTTCAAGATGATCCTGACACTTACCAATCATTTCTAGCTATACTGAATATGTATAGAAATAAAGAAAAGAGTATTGAGGAGGTTTCACGAATGGTATGAGTTTTTGTTAGTCAATCATTTACATATTTCTTTTCTTTTGTGTTCAATAATAATTATAATTATAATTTGATTTCTTTTTCAGGTTATTTCACTTTTTAAAGACCATCCTGATCTTGTTGACGGATTTATTGAGTTTTTTCCATGATGTAGCTTTTGATGTTTACAAATTTTCTTTTATAAAGAAGTTTGTGACGAGTTAATAAATACTTATGGTATGGTTATCGAGAAAATTTAATATTTTTAGATTTATTTTTAATTTTTAAAATTTAAGACTTCAAATAAGAAATCATTTGAAGAAGATTGTATTATATTGCCTTAAAAATAAATATATAAGTTTTTGAGTAAGACAAATTGGTTGATGAACTTAGCATCCATAACAATTAAGTATTTCGAGAAGACCTTTCTTCATTTATGAGGTACTCATTGTTGCCAACTTCATGACTGTGCTTCAAGGTCATATATTTTCTTGGGTAGAGATTGATGGGGTTCGAATCATGATAGAGATGAAATTTTAAAGGTGGCCTCCACTTGTCATATCATGCTCAATTGAATAATTTAATATCTTTTAAACTCTCTCATAATTATGATAATGTGATACTTCTATTTACTTGGAGAAGTTGAGGCCCTACAAGGTGTTTTTCTTCTCTTAGAAACTTTAACTAGATACATTCCTTTTTAGAGAAAAAATATTTAAGTGAATGGTGACTATGGACCCAATTGGTATCTCTTATCCTTTGTGTGTGTGTGAGTGTGTTTAGTTGAGTCAACTTACCATTTTTCATCACTTAAGACATAGTCTATAATGTTTGGTATAAGATTTTTAAGTGGTTTGGATGATAAGTTGATATGTCTAGAGATCTCAATCTTCTTTTTGAGTGTTTTTTCTCTTTAGGTGGTAGGGTTAGTGTTCTGGACTAGGGCAGAGGATGATCCACCGTCGGACAAGGTCCAACCCAGCTCCTCATCGGGGAGGGCTCAATCCATCAGCGCACACGAGGAGCTCGCACACGTCTCCTCCACTGACTTCACGCGGGGCACATCATCAGGCAACTACCCACCTCCCGAAGGTCACGGGGCAGTTGACCCAAGGCGAAGACCACGTGCTGGTCTTCACTAAGCCACATAAGCCCTAACAGTTATGCGTATTGGGCCTTGCAATCCAACTCAGTGCAAAGTAACCGTTGGCCCAGCGCTGGGGACACATTATACATACCCTCTTTCACTAGACGGTCAAATATTCAATTCTCCGCACACTTTTTCTATACTTGTTCTTTCTACTTCGTCTCTTACTCTAACATCGAAGTACCTTGCAGGTACACCTCCTTCCTCTTCTCCACCACCGGTGAATTAGGGAGTTCATGACATGTTGCTGGCTGCTGATCCTTTTCTGATCCAGTAAGATCAGTTAGATTAGGGATGAATTTCTAATGATTTGCTTTATATGTTTTCTCTCTTTAGATAGTAGTGAATTTCCTATGATTTGCTTTGACGTGATTTGAACCATTTGAAAGATTTGTAATGACATAGTTTTTTTTTAATTTATAACACATACATGAAAGAGGTTGAAGAAATTATTATTTTTTGTCCTTGAAATGATTTTTGGATAAATAGGTGAGGAATTTATGCACTTTTTTAGAATAGCTTCAAAATTCAATTATTTGGATCACTGATAGTGTAGTGTATGAAGATTTATGGTTTAATTGGGAGTGCTTGGGATATTTGTATTTCTCTTTGGTGATCTCCTATCAATTGATGGTGTTCAATTTACTTGAGATCTAGCTTGTTTCTTTTTTTCAAGTAATTGAGTTTTTAGTTCTTGGGTTACTCCTCTGGTTTAATCCTAATGCTAGTGTTTCAATTAAAATTTATTGAAAATAATTAAAAGTGTTGCATATTGATATCTTCATGAGATTTTTAGTTATTAATTTTAATTTTTACATGTGTTTAATTCATTTTAAAATGACATTTATAACTAAATATCTGACCGAATATTTACACGGTGTCTAATCTCATCTTAAACATTTATAACTAAATATCTGACTGAATTTTCTTACTCTCAAGTTAATTTATTTTAGACAAAAAAAACATAAAATTATATAAATTAACTAAAAATTAAACAAACAAAATATCTACTTGGAATACTATTATGCCAAAAGGAAGAATCCAAAGTGGAACAAAAAGTGTTAAGATACTATGAACAAGCATGCAGTTCAATTTCCATGATGAATTATCAATTCCCATAAAGAACTATGGAATTACATACTTGGAATACTTCATGCAAATCAGAGGGTTAATTACGCCATTCTAAAAAAGAATTCAGAAATTCCACTATTCTTCCTTGTCTTAGATATGTGTTTTGTTTCAAGTTAATATGTGCGTTGCAATATGTGTGTTGTTAGTGTGATTAGAATTTTTTTCATAGTATTATAATAGGTGTTGTTAGTGTGATAGTGTAGTTTCATATACTAATATGAGTGTTTTTGGGTTTTTGATATTGTTAGTAGTGTTAAATCGTAGTATGTGATCGTTAGGTAATTGAGTGTGGTGTGTAATGAATAATTAACGTTGTAATTTTTGTGTGAGCAGTAGTTGCAGTTTGTTTTTGTAATTAAAGTGACTCTGGATCAATTGTAGTGAAAGTACAATTATATTGCGCTAATATAAGAAAATTTAGGTATACATTTACAATTATGTTGTGTTTGTTGCAAATAAATGTGTGTATACACGTTTTATTCCATGTACTTGTTGCTTTATTTCTATTCCTTGTTGACTTAATTCATATGAGGGATTGTATGTTGACTTATTATCATTGTGCACGTCCTTCGTTTGTTCTTTACTTGTCTTTGTTGTTCTTGGTTCTTAGAACCTAGAAACTCATAGTTCCACGAACTACGGACGCTCTAATTTCTCAAGTTACTCTTGAGAATACGTAGGCACAAGGTACCAATCCTTGGCGAGCACACTTTTATTTTTTTCACACCCTTTTCCCTTTTACATCGTAGTTGTAAACTACAATTTCTCTGACTTCCTATATAGGATACGTAGACATAGGATTGCGAGATCCTAGCGAGCTACCTTTTTATTTTTCTACCTTTTTATTTTTCCACCTTTTCTTTTTACTTAGTCCATCCTTACCTTTAGCAAACAATTTTATCCAAATCACAAATATTTCAAGAGGTTTCCGTAGAGTGCTACAAATGCTTAGGATGCTAGTACCTTCCAAGTATAACCAACTCTCATACCTTTGATCTCTCTTTTGCTTATCTGGCCTTGCTCTTTGCTTTGCATTTTTTATTTATGGGTTATTCTTTCTTTTCCCGTTCCCTCAGATAAATTAAAGATCAAAGGTGATATTTTATGATTTGCGAGCCAAGCTAATCTCATAGCTTTGGTATCTGATTCTCATCGCGACAATATGGGTTTCTCTCGTTTATTGTTAGACAAGTCATAAAAGTTGTATGAGGAAGAAATCCTACTGAGAAGCAAATGATAAAATATCTCAGAATTATATTCTAGGGACTTGAAATTCATTTAGGATTAGGAAAGGGATTGTAAACACTTTAAATACTTTAATCTTGTATGATTCTTGTATTGAGGCCATTTGTCTTGTTGTCGTTGTTCTTTCCCCCATACATCAAATTCTTGGTATGATTGAAATCTAAATAATTTTTCTATAGTGGTTTTAATTATTCTACAAATTTCACAATAAGTGGCACATACTGTGGGGTAAATGGGTTAAGTTTACAAGTGAGTACCATTAGTCCAAAATGGGACATCGAGAAGTTTTTTGAAGACAAGGATTTTGGATTATTGAAGGTTAGGATGAAAGCAATATTAATTCAACAAATGTGTGTAGAAGCATTGAATGGAGAAACAGTGATGTCTGTAAGCCTTACCCAAGCTGAGAAGATCGATATGATGGATAAGACTAGAAGCGACATTATCTTGTGCTTCAATATTAAGTACTAAGGGAGGTGGGGAGGGAGAAGGCCATGACTGAGATAACGGTTGAGCTTAAATCATTATACATGACAACATAATTATCTCACATATTGTGTTTGAGAAAAAACTTTATTCATTTCGTAAAGTGGAGAATAAATTTAATGTGGATCAATTAATAGAACTCACTTGCTCATTGATGATTTACAAAATATAGATGTAAAAACTGAAGATGAGGAGAATTGTTGCACCCCAAATTTGTCCTACCTTTACATAGTTTCTAGTGCCACTTTATTTTGAATGAATAAAATGGCACAATTGGCAAGAGACCGTGTGTAAGGAGTTGTGAGTGTGAGAGGTCGAGAGTTCGAATCCCACCTTCTTCACTTTTTGTTTTTCTTTTTTTTTATTCTAAGTTTTCTATTTTCATAAAAAAATAACAAAAATAGTTTTTTTAATTATTTAATTATTATTTTCGTATTTTATTTAAATTATTTTTTTAAAAATATTATTTTTCACTTTTTTCCATATTATTCATAAAAAAATATCAAAAAATCAAAAAATTAAAAATATTAGAAAATATTTTATTATATTTAGTAAATAAATAGAGTTTTAAGTTGTTTTAAGTTTGTTTTAATTTAGTTTTGACTAATTCTTTAAGTTGGGCTTTAAAGTGGGAATTAGGTTAGAGCTAACCCTAATTTGTTACCTATATAAACATAAGTGATGGGAGGAAACTTCATTCACATCAGAAAATCAAGAACAGGTCATCAGAAAAGGAGACAAAAAGAAAAACGGCGGTCGTCAAGATCCGGAGGTTCAGAAGAGTTTCGAAGCTCATCATCATCACCTCCATTTGAGAAAGAGGAAAAGAGATCCAAAGAAGTTCGTCGAGAACCATTGCCGCCGGCGAAGAACAAGCGAAAGCATCACCAACCGGCAACTGAAATGTAAGCTTTTATGTTATCCCAATTAAAACCTCTTCCAAATAATTAAACTCTCATTTCATTTTTTAAACCTTTTCTTTTTTTCTAACTAAAAACCCTTTTTGTGAATTATAACTAAAACCAGTTTTTGATTATAATTACAGTAAGTAAAAAACTTAAAACTTTTTCTTAATTAAAACACTAACCACTAATAATTTTTTTTAATAAATAAACAGTGTTTAAAACACTTTTATAGTTAAGTGAAAACATTTTTACTAAC